TATCGTGGGTGAAAAAAATAAAACGCAATAATAATATCCGTCAAAGCTTTATTCGATTTAAAATAACGTGTTACTTTTACACGTTATATGAAATCGAAAAAAGCTTTAAATATTTCATTAATTTTTAACGACGTAAAATATTTTCAAAAAAGAGTATCTAAATTAATTTTAAACTATGATCAAATTTTGTGAAATACTGATCAAACAGAGCTTTGAATATCAAAGCGAGCCATATAGGACATTGTCACATAAAGGTGAAAAAGTGACCGAGGTATTTTGAGGCGATTTTAATAGAGTAGTAACACACAGCTGCGCAATATTAATTGGGAGAACAAACAGATCCTGGACATTTCAAAAATTATTTTATTAATTCAAATGATGATTGTAATGCAACTGTAGAAATAATTCCACCCCATTGTACACCAATTGTCAGCTGAGAATGTTTATTTTTTTCATCAAGTAAAAAATTCAAAATCCTGTAGACGTTTTCAAAAATTGATGAACAACTTTCGTCCAAAGAAGATTCTATAAAATACATTTGTTAATTTACCATCAAATTTCTGTGGATATTTCTAAAAATATACTAGTATACGCTTGTTATTCCGCTAAATTAGTGAGAGATCGAAATTAAATTTAATCTAGCAATTTTTTTTATTATTATTTGATATCGCTAAAAGTATTAAAATTCAAGATGTTGTAATGTATTATATTATAATATATATATTTTTAGAAATACTGACTTATTATAATTTATTATGTATCATATTTTAGTAAAATTAAGTTAAGAAAATAAGAATGTAATTGTGATATTTATTATTATTTTACAAGTTTATAACATAATACATGTCAGATGTAATTATCAATTTTATATCTAGATATTATAAGTTAATTCATAATGATAAACCTGTTATATAGTTTTTATGTTCAATAAATCCTTAGTTGTTCAATAACTATACGAGTTTCTCTAGTAAAATTTTAGAATTAGGCAGTCATTTGCACATTGAATATAATTCGTAGACACAAATTTTTTCAACATTTAATATTACATAAACTTTAATTTACTAATTTTTAAAGAACGCAAGTTTTCCAGAACATTTTAAAAGTTAAATTTATAAGTGAAAGTTACTATTTTTAACATGTCTAAGATATTAATATCATTTTGAGATAAATAACTTAAAATTTATTTTACTATTTCGATTAATTTTACGACAATTTTTTTTCATAAAGACTTCATTATTAAGTTCAAAATTATACAGAGTGAATTGATATTATATTGTTAAAAATCATAAATTTTAAATTGTGTCACTATAATCTAATAATTATATTAATTTTGTAATTATTATATGACACAGATACTTAATTTTTATAGAAAAACGTATTATAAAATAAGTATCAAAATAATATCTTTCAAAAACGTTTAACAATTGGTAATAATAATGATAAATTTGAAAACTTTTCCATTTCATAGTTATATAATTTTTGCATTTTAAAATAGATTTTGTTATTTATGCAAATACTTTAATATTTTTATTTGATACTAAAGGATGGTTTTGGCACTTTTCAAGATATGTGTGACAAAACAAATTACTGGGTATCATTTATGAATCATAAGCAACGTGTTTTATTATTTACATCAAATGCAAATATAGCTCAAAAGTGTTTGGATTTTAAAAACGAAATCATTAAAAGCCGTGAATTGAAAATATCATTACACTCAATAGGTGTATCATTAGTTGACAATGAACTAAATATAGAACTATTGTATGCGACAGTTCAAAGGTTTTTACACATTTAATAAACAATTAATGTGTACCAAATAAGCGCGAATAAATAACATTTTTAATATACTAAATATAAACCTATATTTTGTAGTTCTGAAACAATTTGGGAGGCCAAAAAATCGAAATCAAAAACTTATAAGCCTTTAAAACTAGTTGAAAGTGATTTTATTGAACAATATCATACAACATACGAAAAAAAGTTATCTATTGGAATATCAAAGCCTTTGATATACATAAAACAATTCAACATGAAAGTATATTGAATTAACATACAAATTGATCTTAATTTTATTGATATATCTAATTAACTATAACATTTTACATCAATCAAATAAATCTCAAATATTAAAAAATATCTATTGGATAATTCACAATAGGACTAAACTATTTTATGCTCATAATCTATATTCATGTTAATTTCACGTTAAAAATTAAAATTTATTGGTTAAACATTCATATAATTTAGTTCAGTATCTAGTCTAATTTGAATATATTGATGTGATTAAGAATTTATTGTATGTTAAATAAATGGTAACACGGCGAATGATAATTAATATTAGTGACAATTTATTGTTATTAATCAAACATAAACCAAAAGTCGTAAAAATACGATGGGTTCTCCCCTTGGTCGCCATTGTGAATTTGTGTTTGAATAGCTTCGCTATTGAACCTTCGCATGAACTGCTGACGGAATTTGCCAAGTAGGGTTCATACATCTAATGGTTCCCCATCATGTTCAAGCTTCAGCTTTCAGTTGAGGAGCTAAGACCTGTACCTATTTGTTATATGGTACCCTTGCCTCCTCTAAGACCGCTTCGGCCTTCTATACAAATGTTGTAGGATCTTCTTGTCGTTTTTCGGAAAACTCCGGTAGCGAAGATTGTTCCAATGACAGGCTGTCTGGATGAAGTAACGTCGACTCCTTAAAAGTCACACTCGTCCTGCTCTGGATCCTACTTTCCGGACCGGGACGGTTTTCAGACCGTTTCACTCCGTGTATACCAGTCATTCCTCGATTTTGATCGAAGGTTTCTGGATTTTGTCCGAAGAAAGTGGAGTTTTCCCCGGAGATCTGTATATTTCGGTGACGACCTTCGGACGCCGGGTTAACCTCGACCGTAGAGTTTTTGGTTACAGCGGAAGAATAGAAACTTTCACCGAAGAATTGTCTGTTCCGGTGCTGTTCTTCCAAAATCCAGTCTAATCCACTGGAGAAAATAAAATTTTCACCGGCGTAGGAGGGTCTCGGTCTGCGTGTCTCGGGGTACTGGTCGTTTAGACGGGTCGAAACAAATTTTTCACCGGAAAAGTAATTTCTACGGTATTGTTTCGCCGAAGTATACTCGGTCGGAATTTTCTGGCGCGGCCATCTGTTCACCCTTCCGATCGGAGTTGTGATTTTTCGGGTCTGTCCGCTTTAACTTGCCTAAGCGTGAGGTGTAGCGGCAGAGTTCCCCTATTGGTACTGCAAGGTACCCCCTGTACTTCGCAAGTAGACAAGTTGACTTGCTTGATGAAGTCGTTCAATTTTGTCTCAAGCTGAGCAATGTGGTCGCGATATTGGACGACTATTGCTTCCAGCTCCTCGTTCCGCTTCGCATTATCCTCGACGTACCCGCATAACATCATATAAGTATCATATGACAGTGACCAGCTGTCTCGGTCGTCTTCAGAACGGCGATCGTTATCTTCCGGTTGCCCTGACCTACCGTTAGGATTATCGTCATCAAGGGGCGGAGTATTACTCGACGCGTTAACCCCCTCCTCCTGGCTTAGATAGTCTTCCAGCCGAACCATAAGGTCAGCTTTAGAGTCCCCATCGTGACAGCTCCCCTTACAACTCTCTTATAGTCAGCTCAAGTATGCTCTTACCTGACATATTAAGTGCTGATATTCTAATAATAGTAGATAATTAGGTCAACGGGGATAAGCTAATGCGTTGATCACGTGATCAGGAAGTAGACTTGTCTACAAGATATTTTTAGCACAAAACACGTTTGGAAATTCTCCTGTATAATAAGTCTGTCTCTATAGCTTATATACACCTTGATCCCAACAAATTTTAAACTTATAACCATTTAAGTCTTAAAAATTTCTTTTTCTGGGACTTACTACACTTTTAGTCAGTTAAAGCTGTAGGTTCTCTCTTTTGCAAATATTTCATTAAGGGTGCGAAAAATAATAGTTGCTGTAATTATTTAGCACTTACCTTAGCTATTTCTTAGTCTGCAAAAAAAAAAAATTTCTTTATTCAACTGCGCCAATGATGTAGTAAAGGATTTATTGTAAGATAAATAAATTGTAACACGGCGAATGATAATTAATATTAGTGACAATTTATTGTTATTATTCAAACATAAATCAAAGGTCGTAAAAATATCACTAAGTATTCCGTGCGGATGTTGAAAGACCAGTTCGCGTCACCCGACGTCACTCGGCGTCGCGTGACCTGTTGGACAAGGAGAGGTAGCTGTGTTGCAGTCGCTCTCCAGCGGTAAAGCCAGAAGTGTAATGCGACCACGTCAATATTCAATAGATACTAATTTAATACAATTATCAAATCAGCATTAATAACTTTAAAAAACTAATACTAAAATTATTTTTTTCTTTATTTATAACTTTCATTAGATCGATTTAGAAAAATTATTAATATTAAAACCAAAGTTAAGAAAATTACGTAGAAAGTTTGCTCCCGGATTATTATTTACGGAAATTATCACGGTAGACCAAAACAAAAAAACTAATATACAAATTCATAGTATCCAAATTGATAATCAGAATTACGATTGTATTTATCCTGTAATATTTGGCCCAGTACCAATTCCAAAATCATTAGCAATAAAAGGTTGTATTTACTCCAACAATATATTGTTTCCTTCTTTTAATTATAATTGATTATTTTTTAGAAGTAAAACCATTTGTTGAAATATCGTTATTAGAAAAGTTAAATGTTTCGTTTACAACTCGGGAATTCAAATATTTCAAAATCATCATTCAACAAGCGTTTTTTAACCTGGATCTAACTTTCATAGATGCTTTTTGTAATTTTATTGAATATAAAGAAAAATTAGGATATACAAAAGTAATTAATTTTTTTATTTAAAAGACTGATGGGCTTCAACGTCTGAGGCTTTTAGCCCTGTGTACATGTTATATGGCATGGGTGGCCACTAACCTTTACTCAGGGAGCCACAAATTTATGAAGCTGTTTTAAGGCGAGCCACATTGTTTGGAGATGAATTTATGGTTAATAAGTTAAAGACACTTTTTAATTTTAAAAGAAGAAACATTTATTGTACTCTACTTATTTATAACATTCAATGTTAACTTAATGTTCAATTGCTTTTACGAGTGTTCATTTTAGCTGTGAGTTGTTTGAAGTTTGGTTTATAATTGGTAAGCGCAGTTCGCACGAGTTCACTCAAGTGTTCATCAGTTAGTTCAGATCGATATTTAGATTTAATGAACTTAAGTGTTGAGTACAGTGATTCACACACATATGTAGTGCCAAATATTGAGATTAGTCTCTTTGCACACAATTTTGTTAGAGGGTATTTTTCTTCTGGAACTTTCTTCCAAAAATCTATAGCTGAAATGCCACTTCGTTTTAGTCCTTTCAGCCCTTCATCCTCTTGTAATTCTAGTATCTCCAACTCTACAGCTGCTGTATCATTTGTAATTGGTGATGAAACAGGACAGCCGTCGTCCACATCATCAACACCAAATGGGTTTTCCAAGAATGAAAATGAAGGCTTGAGCATTCTCAAATCATTAAATCTGCCATTGATTTCTTCAGCAAGACCAGATAATTTACATAAATAATCTTCAGTTTCAACTTGAACATCAGGATTGCTTTCAATAATTTTCTTCAAACATTTGAAGTGAGCAAATGTCTTAGTCTCAAGATCTTTCCGAAAGAGCCTTAACTTGCTATGAAAGCCAAATACACTCTGCGCTAAGTCAGAAATAAGTTTTTCTCTTCCTTGTAGTGATATGTTTAGGGTTTGTAAATGCTGAACCACATCTGTAAAAAAAGCCAAATCTAACAACCACTGGGGGTCATCAAGTTCTGGGAAAGATTTTTCTTTTTCTCGCATAAACTGTTTTATTGGATCAAGTAATTGAAAAAATCGGTCAAGAACATTGCTTACTGATAGCCATCTAACTAAACAGTACCATGATACATCATCAGGAAGCTCGTCATTGTCCAAGCCCTCTAAGAAGGATTTGAACTGTCGGTGTGTCTTAGCACTTGATCGAATGTAGTTAACAATTTTTAAAACTACCTGCATAATCTGGGGATATTGAAAATACTTTGCAGCTAAATGTTCCCTGTGAATAATACAATGTACAGGTAGGAAATCAGGGTATGATGTATCCTCATTTAAAAGCCCAATAAGCCCTTGTTTCTTACCTGCCATAGCTGGTGCACCGTCGGTAGCAATGCTAACAATACTACCTTTAGGCACAGAGTTCTTCAATAAAACACCATCCAGGGCTTCTTTAATATCACAACCACGAGTAGTAACATTCAATGTAACCAGGTCTAACAGTTCTTCCTCAACCTCCAAGTCTTTTGTCACGTACCTTACAAATATGGCTAACTGGGGTTTATCTTTGACATCTGTAGATTCGTCCAAAGCCAGACTAATTGCTGAGCACTCACTTAAATTTTGTTGTAAATTGCCAACAATATCGCCACTAATAACAGAAATTCGCTATTATATTATATATTATAATAACAGAAACTCTCTATTGTATGTCTAGCAGCAGGCATTTGGTCTATCAATTTCTGCAATTTTTTATTTTCAGGGTCTAAAATAGAAACAACTTGTGACATATTCTTTTTAATAAACTCTCCCTCTGTGTAAGGCTTCTTTGCTTTTGCAATATTAAAAGCCAAAACTAAGCCAGCCTCAGTTGTCAAATCTGCTTCTTTTGTAAACATTGACATAACCCTGCTCTGACAATCAAGTTTTTCCTTTAAGGATTTTAATTTAGTTTTCCTTAACTGAGAACCAATAGGAAAATCTTTACAGAAACCACCGTGGTTAGTATCATGATGGCGTTTTAAATTACTGGCTTTGAACTGTGACAAAGTGGTTTGACACAAAAGACACATTGGCTTACAGTTTCTTTCAACAAAAACGAATTCTTCCTCCCAGTCTGTATTAAAAACTCGATTCTCCTCTTCATATTTACGCTTCTTAGACAGCATTGTAATGTAACTATTTCAACACTAGCACTTACACAACTGAACTCAAAACAGCAACACAGCACAAACAAAAATAATGTTACTAGCTACAGCGTATGTAAGCAGCGGTAGTGCGACTGGCTACTGAGTACTGACTGACACTGACTGTCGTGACTCGTGATGCCACTACGTCAGAATGTACTCGTACACCGTTGCCATATCGACACATAGTTTGGTGTGTATGCAGTGTTGCCAAGTCTACAAAAAAGACTTGTCAAAACAAATGTTGAGTTTTGTAAAGCTTAAAAGACTTTCAAACTGTACATTGCATTATTATATTGTTTTAAATCAGTAATATTTTTACTCTGAACTCAGGTTCGAGAGCCGCACCAGATTAACTCAAGAGCCGCATGTGGCTCGCGAGACTCGTTGTGGCCACCCCTGTTATATGGTGTAAATTAAATTAATATTAAAGATCGGAGATTATAATAGCTTAACATTTGAATACATGTTAATTAAAGATTCTTTATAATGTTGATTTGCGTGAGGAAATTTATATTTTTTTTGGTGTTGTCTTCGTGGAGAGCTTCATCTAAATTGTTTGGTATTGATAGGGAGTTTCGGGTATTTTAAATACGTCATCCTAGACTGGGCAGTCTAAGATGACGTGTTGGATGGTTAGGTCTTCTTGGCATTTGTTACATATGGTTGGTGGATCTTTATTGATTAGGAACGAATGAATAAAAAGGAATGTCCAATTAGTAAAAAGGAATTCTAGTGTCTCACTCTGGTAAGAGTGACTTCTTGTCTTCTATTTACATTGTGTAGGTAGTGCAACTGTTTGGTGCATTTTTTTATTTGTTTGAAGACAGCACAGAGTTCCAGTAAATTTTCCATGTCATATTTACTTTATTTTTTATGGATATATTTATGTCGTTAGCCGATATATCACTAATTGCTGGATGTAAGATGGTTTTGGTCGCTACAAATGCTGGCTTATCTGACATCTCGTTGCCGGCTATGCCAATGTGTGATGGTAACCACATAAATTCTATATCTCTTTTTGTAGAATACAGTTCGGTTTGAATGTTCTGGGTTATTTCATTTGTCGAGAAGGGTTTTTGGAGTGCTAGGAGGGCGCTTAATGAGTCGCTTATTATTAGAATATTGTTTTTGTGCAGTATTTTGGTTTCTTCTTTGATAATTGCAAAGCCAATTCCATGTTGAGATTTGAATGCGTCAGTATAAATGTGTAAAAAATTGGGGTATTTATTTTGGATGGTACCTTTGAAGTAGGACCTGATAATTGTTGCGGTTTGTTTTGCCATTTATACCACATTCTTGAATAATTTTCAGGACCCTGTTTCGCCATACCATATCGTAAGCTTTTTCTAGGTCTATGGCTATTAATATTAAATGTTGTTTTTGATTTTTTGCGTTACAAATATCATTGTGTAAGGAAGAAAGGGTATCGGGAGTTGAATGGTTTCTTTGAAATCCACATTGTTCATTCGTTTGTGAATTTTATGTCTCCAAGTGCCAAACGAGGCGCTTATTTATTATTTTTTCTAGTGTTTAGCCTAGTGTATTGATGAGTGAAATGGGCTTGTAGTTGAAGGTATCGAATTTGTTCTTTTTAGGTTTTGGAATAGGTATTAATATTTCGTTGCGCCATTGATCTAGATATATACCTGTTTCCCAAATTATATTATAAATTTGGAGGAATATTTCGTGTCCTAATTTAGGTAGGTTTAGAATACGGCATGTCGTCTAGGCCTGGGCTTTTGCTTTTACATCCAGATAGTGCATTTTGTAGTTCAATTATATTGAAGGGTTCGTTGATTGTGTTTTCTTGTTGGTAGAAGTTAAGTTAAAAGTCCCTTTAAATGTGTTTGAAATTTAGAAAATTGTATTCATAGTTAGAAGTACAGTTATTTTTGATAAAAGGCTGTACAAAAGCTTCGGTTATGTCTGTAGCAGATGAGAGTGAGTGGCCATTATGGTTTAGATTGGTTGGTAGGGGCTGATGAGATATTCCACTAATGGATTTGATTTTGTTCCACATGTCAGTTGGAGATGTGTTTGAGTTTATTGAATTTGTGTATTTTCGCCAAGATTCAGTTTTACTTTTTTTTGTTATAAATCTTGGTTGTGCACAGAATTTCTTTAGCGTTATGTGGTCTTCTATGGATTTGGATTTTTTAAATATGTTTAAAAAAGTTCCAACGGACTGGTGGAAATGTAGGGGCTGTTTGATCTATGATTTTTATAGAAAATGGCCAGTTGATGAAAATGGGCTATTTGTTATTGTGAGATCAATAGCTGATAGAGAATTGTGAGTTGCATTGTGGCGAGTATATTCTGCAGTATTTAATAATATTGGTTGCTCATTTTATAGAAATTTTTCCATAATTTTGCCTCTTTGATCGGTAAAATGAGATCCCCAGAATTGGTTACGACTGTTCAAGTCACCGAGAAAGATAAGTGGTTTGGGTAATTGTTGGATGATGTCTGTGAGTGTAAAAATGATGCTATCCAGTAGGTAAATATTACAAATACATAATAAGGTTTTAAGACTAATGGAGACAGCTATAACTTCAAGTGAAGATTCAATATGAATTTAGTGCTTTCAATGAGGTTATTGACGTAAATAGCAACTCCGCCACTAGCACGGAAATATTTTTGGCTTTTTTTGAAAAAACCTTTGTATCCTTTTATGGGAAAGGTGGTGTTAGGTTTTAAATTAGTTTCTTGGAAGCATAGGGCGATTGGTTCGATGTGAGTTTTTGCTCTGTGGATATCAATATAGTGTTTGTGTAGACCGTTTATATTCCATTGAACGATAATGTCTATGATTGAACATTTTAGAGATTATGTAATAAAACTTGTATGGTTTTTGTTATGTTTAGTTTTGAATAGTATTTTGTTGAAGGGGTCGAGATTGGAAAAGTATATTTCTAAGCTTTGTTAGGCGTGATTTGAGTGGTCTGTCTTTTATTTTAGGATGAATTTGTTCTATTATGGCCATTAAAATTGGGATGTTTATGTTTACATCTTCGATAAGAGTGTAAATATTCATTCATTTAATGTTAAAGTTATCCAGGATATATTTAAATTAAGTGTATGTGATTGGTAAGGGCTCATTGATAATTAAGTGTTCGATTATTGGATTTGGATTTTCGTCTAAATTGTGTCGAGATTGATTGATGAATTTGAGCGAGATTGTATTTGGGTTTCTTGGTAGTTTTGTCTTTTTTTTTTACTGAGGTATGGCATTCGGGGAGTCCGGTGGTTTGGTGGAAGACGAATCAGACAACAGTCTCTTCTGAGTTTCTGTTTGTAAGTGAGACAGTGCTTCATCGGGATGATTTGGGGTGAGAGGAAAAAAAAATTGTGTTCTTCCGAATTTTCGGCCCAATCCGATTTGATTTGATCAAGTATATCAAGCATCAGGGTTGTGGGAGAGCGGATATTTTCAATTAAATCAGTGAGGTCTATGATGAAGTCATCAGGTTCGTTTAATTTGTTTGGGCTGGATGGAGTATTATTTTCTTGTATAGCAACTACATTTTTACAATTATTTGAAGTGTTTCCACTAGCTTTGCATATAAAACATGTTACTATGTCGTCGGTGAAAAAAATTCTGAAATGTGATTCATTTAGAATACGTGTTGCACGGTGGGCTGTTGAACACGAACTAAGTAATTTATTATTTTAAAATTTTTCTTTGTATTTTTACAACTATATTATTAGGAAGAAATTCTATTCAACAATTGCTTAAACGATATTATTAAAACAAAACAATTTTATTTCGATACATCGGTTACAGAAGACCAAAATCATTTTTATAATTTGATACAATTTTCTTCAGTTAAAGTAAACACAATCTTCTACTTAAAAAAATATTCTTGTAAAACAAATATAAAATATCTATATTATCATTATGTACATATACAGGATGATTTATTTATCATAACTCACTCAACTACTTTCAGAATAAAAATAATTTAAGCATACATTTTTTTTATCTTTAGTTACACATTATTGTTAAATTTGAAACTTTAAATGTTTATATCTAATAAACGAATAAAGATATATTAAAAATTCAAATGCCATTTACTATTAAATTAATTGTTGCCATTTAAAAAAACAAAGTTGACACCCTTACAAAGTATAAGGTATGAACATAAAAAGTATTATATAGCTAATAATTCAAGAATAATGTGTAACTAAAGATAACCAAAAAAAAATGTTTAAATATATTTATTCTGTAAGTAATTGAGTGGGTTATGATAAAAAAGTCACTCTGTATGTTTGGAATCTATTCACTTGAAGTTATTTATTTTTAGATACATGTAACATTTTCACTGTCTGACAACATGAATAATAGTGGCATATCAAAATATATAAATGTTTTCTTGTATAGCATTAAAGTAACATTGACTAGTGCAAATGATGTAATTTTTAGGTGAATATTTTTGCAACATTTGGTGTTGTATAATAATTAGTGATGATGTGAAATATACGAAAATCGAACATAAAATTCAATTAAACATATTAGGCCAGTCAACGAAGGAGTAATTTTGGTGAATGGTGAAAAAAATTCCCAACCAAATTTTTTTTTTTTAAAGTTGAATTAAGATATGTATAATGACATATTAAAAGTCCTCATCGATTGGACTTGAGCTTTTTTTTTT